CGTGTCACCAGTCAGAGTCGTATCTAGCCGGACCCCATATCACTCCAACTGCACACGTCCCATACCATCACAGAGCCTCCAGCTGCTTGAACATCCAGGGTCTGTGTATTCATGAAGTTGCCGACATACTCGTACACATCTATTCGCTCAAACAATGTTAAACGAGACTCGTGAGACCAGGCAGTGCGTTTCCACACATCAACAGTCCAATGCTTTTGTTAACGGGCCCAGGTGAAGCGTAAAGCTTTGTGTTGTGCAGTCATCTGGAGCACGCGTGGGCCTTCGGCTTCGAAACCCCATATCGATTATGTTTCGAATGGTTTGCATGCTGCACTTTTTGATTGCCCTGCATTGAAATCTGCAATAATGGGCGAAAGTGTTGCACTTCTGTCACGCGTAATTATTCTCTTCAGTTGTCGACTGTCCCGTTCTTGCACGATCATTTTGCGGCCGCAGGGATGGCGGAGGTTGAATGTTTTACCGGATTCCCGATATTTACGATACAATCGTGAAATGATCGAACAGGAAAATCCAAATTTTATCGCGACCGAAGGGTCGTGTTAACCGTGACGCAAACATTAAATTATGATATCCTGCCATTGTAGTAGCAGTAACCGATCTCACAGCTGTACCAGACTCTGGTTGTCTTATATATTCGTTGCCGACCCAAGCGCCGTATTCTGATTGGTTCCAGAGCTTACGTGTACATTGCTCCAGATCTCTTCATTTCAATACGCATGTCTGTAACAGTTTTTTTTCTCTTCAGTGTATAATGACTATCATTCAAATACAAAGTATTAAGACAATTTTAGTACTACAAAGAAATATTAACTGATTGAAAAAAAAACAACATCTGATGTAAAAAACTTAATGGTTAACAAATGTGAGAAGTAAAATATTGAGTTGCATGTGTTTCTGTTTGAGAAAACGTTAGGATTTTCAATTTGCGCCCCAAATTAAATGATGAGTGTGAATTATTGATAAACGTAGTGGTAATGATAGTAGTGGAGTGGATATTGGTAATGATAATGCTGGTTAAAATGAAGAGACGAAATAGTGGCATGGATTATGTAATAGACTATGATGAGAAATCAGGAATCGCTGAGTTATTATTACCAACTCACAGAATTCATTTGTAAATTAATACCGGACACTTCTGTTATTGCCTATTAATTCCTTTGTTTGAAGTTGCTCGAATTAATACAAATTGCTCTCTAAATAGTTTGAAAGATACTGCACAGTCTTTATATTCTCTATTTGGTACGTATTGAAACATTATTTTCGTTAAATGTAATAGGTCTAAGTGTGTCATCATGAGAAAATAATTATGTTTTTGTTTCAGATGGAGTGGATAGTAGATACAGAGATTCGCATAATGAGTGTGGCCAACTATACGAAAACCAGAAGTAATTTCTGGATATTTATCTCCGTAATCATATTCTTACATACTCTACTATCATAGATTGCTTTAATAATATATAATTTTATTATTATTGTTGTTATTATTATTTTCTTAAAGTAGTTTTCATATAAATACCAATGAAATATTTTTTATCTTCTCACTTTCAGTAGTGTATTATGAAACGATGAAGTAAAGCTATCAATAAATAATATGACATGCCGCCCTAGATGGCCGAGGTGACTAGAGCTTGTGTCGACTCAGCGCCTCGGTCCGAAGGGTGGCGTATTCGAGTCCCGTTGTGGGCATGATTGTCCCTTGTCTTTCATGTATGTGTGTTGTCGGGGAAGGCCTCATGAGTCTGCTGACCTCAGACAAAGGTGCCCACATTAGTGTCTAGGCTAATTTGATTAATTATTACATTGCCAGAGTTAACTTTCGGAAAAACACCTTGACATCCTCAGTGGGTCTCTAGCAACTAGGAGGACATTGAAAAATTAACATAAAAGGAGCAAAAAGAAATATAGAGAATTTATGTGAAAAAATTAACAAATAATATGAAATAAATAATTAATAAATAAAATTAAAAATACTTACTGCCCAAGCAATGTGGATCACTTAAAAATGTTCACAACATCGGTCGGAAAAAATTCGAAAACTGAAAAACATACTGGGCACACAGCTAGGTGGATGCCATCTTTTGGAATAGGGAGAAAGACAACCACTTGTGGGGGGCGAAAGAATAGAAGGGGTAGTCATAAACCGATTTGAAATTGACCGATTTTCGTATAGAGGAATGTTAATGCACGACATAAAATTAAGAATTTGAAAAGTTTTAGAATTTAAAATTAAAAAACGACAAATTTTAAACACGTTGACTAGTTGAAGAAATTTGCAAAGAGGTTAAAGTCAAAAGAATGATTAAGAACTAGTCAATAAAAAGATTTAAAATGACTGATTTTTATTAAGTAATGTTCGTTCAAAATAGAAAAAAATGTATTGTTGAAGCCCTTGGCACCTGAAGATCTTGAAACACCGCGCCCATCCACCGAGTTCATGGTCTTCCTTATTCGCACCCACTTGTTGCCATCCATGACAATCCAATTGTCTGGTCATCTTTATTATGAAGTCTATTCACTTTCACTGTCTGAAATTTTTTTTGTGGTTATGTGTGCTTCATGATTGTGTGTGCTGTCTATGTGTAATGTGCTTGTGTATCCCATGTGGTTGGCGTCAGAAAAGGCATCTGGACGTAGAAGTATCGCCAAATCTGTTTAAAAATTGTATATTGGCACAATTAATAAAAATGAGCCCACGCACATTAACGCCGACCCCATAATAACTGGAAAAGGCAAAACAAGACTAATAGTCTATAGCTTGCGCTGCTTTTAATTTAAATTTCGACCTTGCCAAATTTTAACTCTGTAGAAAATTCACTTTTTAGTATTTATTTTAAGATGTAGTGAATGTCGGTGAGATTATCAATGTTATACACAAACATTGGAGGAATCGTTTTATTTTCCTGCGAGTCTTGGAGATTTTCTAAGGCGCTGAAATCTTAGTAAGTGGAAATTTAATATACTATACCAGACATGTCAAGGTTGAAGGCAAGGTAACAAGCTTAGTAGAGCGCGAGCTCTCAGTACTGAGAAATTGGCGCGAGATTCAAAAAAAGGTTTGTACAAATCTCTCCAGTGGCGGTTCGTCTCTGGCTACTTGACCCATGAGTGTCTTTATGAGAAATCAGAAGACAGTTATTGCCCAATATTTATCTACATTAACTCTCATTTATTCAGTAAAGCCAATAAATATAAATTAAAATTAAATAATACATCAGTCAGATTTCATATTCTTAATTGAGAGTAAAATTTTAAAAAAGAATGAAAACGAATCTCGATGATGCAAACCTGTTTACTAAAGGCTGATATAAAATGATGAACTTTCTACGTTCAGGTTAGAAGGTTTAATAGACAAATATTGTCTACTAAAATCACTGCCCGTCCATAAACGAGAATTGTTAACTTATAGACACTTTTTAATTTATTCCACATTGGAGATAAAAGCAGTAAATACCTGAATGATTTAATATCACAACACAAAACGAAAATAAGGAAATAATTTTCCATTCAAAAACATTTCTGTCACTTAGCAAAGATGTTGATATCAGTTAGATTTTAGTAATAAAGTAAACATCAAATAGTAACAAGCAGTGAAGAATATAAATATAATACAATTCGTCGGTGTTTGATAGGAAAAATCTGACAAATATACTATTGTCTTATGAATCCACTCTTCGCCGCCTCGCGCCGCTCCAGCTTGCGCGAGTACACCCCTTTCTGTACTTTAAGGGGAAATAAGGGCGGAGTGGGGAAGTTGCCCGTGCCCGAAGGAGTGCCGGATTCTCCCGTTTACGAAGGCATGAACTGGAAATCAGTCGCGCGCTACAACTGTGTTCGTGTGCGAAATTATGTCTTGTGCCCGAGAAGAGCTTTCGGACGCGCTTAGTGCACATAACTTAGTGACGATTACCGGTGATAATATCCGCTCTTTTGTCCGAGCATGCTGCTAGTCTCCAGGGTTTGACGCTGCAAATTTACTCAAGTAAGTCTATGTCCCTCTCTCCTCCAAGTTGTACTTAAGTATGTGTCTCTCTGCTGCTGCATTTAATAATGTTAGATGTACTAATTGTATTTATGCGTGTCAGTGTTGTATGAAAGATTCCTCGACCCACATGTCACTCAAATAACCCCACTATTATTCTAGAATCCACTTTCAATTCATTCATGTGCTAAGCCAGACATGAGTTCTCTACTTAAATGATATCAGGGCTCCACAATACCATTTTTCGTCAAAAAATCGCCGATTTTTCTTCAGCATTATTTTTTATACTATTTGAACGTAAATAGTATGCTAGAAAGTAAAATCATGTACGCAACTAATACGAATGTGCGTTTGACATAGCCATTTCAAAATGGACTCTGTAACTATAGCGGCCTCGTCCGTCAATATTTTATTCGTACGCCAAAGAGTCACTTTCCGTGTTAGTTACGCAAATAATTATTTCATTGTTAGCTCCCCAAAAAGTTCCTGAAATAATATACATACATAATTACTTTTTTCGTTTTTGGAGAAGAAAACTAAGATTTTCGACAAAAATTAAGGAAGTAATATTTGTTTTTAGTAATGTTTTATTTAAATGTTTTTCTGACCCACTTAAGGTATAAAAATATTTTGTGGTCTCAGGGAAGAAAAAGTAGAAATCTAGTTCTTTTATAAAATGCAAGGAGAGTCCGTGGGGGTCTCAATGTGGACAAGGACTTTTGTTTCCAAACATATTTCACAGAGAATCGGTCCGAAACGTCAAGGGCTGCGGTTTTTGCTTCGTTATTACGTTATTCAGTTTTAGCCTTTCTAGATATTGAGACATGAAAAAGCATGAAAATCACCGCGAAATAATTGATAGGTGCACTTGCCACTGTTATGGCATATTTTACCACTGCTCTAATTTTCTTCCATTATATCTCCAATTAAAAACAGATAATCCAATATGCCTTCATTGATAATACATTTAAAGTAGAATGGTAATTGTGGTCACGTGTAGTCAAATAAAAAATATTTCATATTCCATTTCATTTGAAACCTATAAAAATGAGAATATCACTGATTAACATATCTCAATGGTATATTGCGAAAATTTTGTTACCTTGAGGATAGCGATGTCATTTTCCATCGTAGTGAAATTGAAGTGCATATGGGGCTCGATAGAAATAACAGCTCGTCTCACTTCTTGATCAGGATACTTCTCCGCTACAGGACTATCCGAGCCCATGAGCACAGACATTTCACCAACTTTCAACTTGACGTACCTACATCATTCGGGAAAGTCATGCTGCAACCCTTAAATATTTTTAGAAGAAAAGAGAAAAGTAGCAATAAAATCAAGTGAAACTTCAATACACCAACATGTAATGTCTGTGAAATTCCGTAGAAAATGATTTTAAGGTAATTCAGTGGATTCCGAAGTCTAGTCATTAAAATATGTTGTAAAGGAACATTACGATTACAGTATTTGTAAATAATTTCTGAGCTATTTTGATTCCGTGGCGAAAGTTTACTCACTTCTCCTTGAAATTCCTCAAAAGATTGAACTATTTCTGACGCCTAATCATACGCCAGGCATGTCAAGTTTGCGGGCAAGGTAACAAACTTCCTAGAGCTCGCGGGCACTGCTTTGTGAGAAACTGGTGCGAGATTTAAAAGTAATGAGTTGTGCAAATTGCTACCGAGTGGTGATAAGTCGCTGGATACCTAGGCCTTGACAGTCTTTGGGAGACGTTGCTTGACGGTTTTTGACCCAAATTTAGCTATATTAATTCTCATTTAATTTTATGATATGTATTTTTAAAGCAATGATCCATTTAAACGTAACAATATACCAGCCAGATTTCAAATTGGCAATTAAGAGTCAAATTGAACATTTCGAATAGAAAGTATTCTGATTTTGTATAAGTGTTTACTCCCGAGTGGTATGAAATCATTGACTTTCCACGTTCAGATTTGGAGGTTTAACAGACCAAGGTTATTTATGATAAAAGCTCTGTCCTTCCGTAAACGAGAATTGTTAAAATAATTTATTTTACATTACTTCTAAATAAAATAAATAAATGATTTAAAACACAAAATGAAACGAAAACAAAGAAAGATATCGCTATTTATACATATTCCTGCTTCTTGACAAAAATGTGAATACAAAGCAGGATCTAAAAGGAAATGAACATGAAATAGTAAAGAATATATACATCATTCAAATCTCGGATTGTTTGATAGAACAAATCTGGCAAACATTTTTGTATGAAGCTACTATTTACCGCCGTCGTACCCTCCCCCCGTCCGTCCCTAATTCCGTCCCCTATCCGTCCGTCCCTCTCTCCTTCAGACCATCCGCCTCTCCGTCCATCCCTCCCTCCGTCCGTCACTCATTCTGTCCCCCGTCCGTTCGTCCCTCATTCTATCCCTCGATCCGTCTGTTCGTCCCTCCGTCCGTCTGTTTGTCCGCTGTCTCTCTTCGTCCGTATTTCCACGAACAATGTGCCTAAACCTTAAGCAGAATTTTTGTAAAAATTAATCACTTCGGATCGACTTCGTTTATGTTGCCGCCCCTTGAGTTTGAAACGGATTTTTTGGGAGTGAGGGATGACTTAAGCCCCCAAGTCCTTTTCAAATTTTGCTCAAAAATGCCTCCAAATTCTTTCTGTCTTTCTCTCTAGAATAGAGTGAATTACACTAATTAACTACTTGTAAAGATGTCAGAACTGATTTTCACTATTTCCTACGTATTTTTGGACATTGCAAACGTCTGAATCCCCCCACCGCTCTCCCCGAACTAATATAAAATTGAAGATTGAGAAGTTTCCTTCAAATTAAAGGGTACCCTCGGGTAAGATGGTCAAACATTCGCTAAAACCAAGTGACGTAAGTGCATTTACATTATATCTAAAATATATTAAAATAAAAAAAGAGATTTGAAATATTTCTTACGCCCCATCCACCAATATCCTACTATTCAGCCAAAAGCGTTTTTTAAAAGTATTGTTTAGTTAACTTAACATTATTTTATCTGATTGGAAAACAATACGAGGATTAATTCAATATGAACGAGACTTTTCATACTGCGCGCGTATTTTCGAGTGGTGTAGACGGCCGCCGCTAGAGGTCATTGGTGGCGATGAGAGGAGTGTGGAGAGCAGGCGGCGAACTTTTCAAACTAGTTCGGCAGTGGCAGTGACGATGTATGGGCAACCGGTGCACCCTTCTACTGCGCAACGCTTATTATTAAATTTCTTACTCATGAAGGCATAAAACCAAAAAGAATTTTACAAAAATTTACTGCACAGTTCGTGGATAAAACACTGTCAAGAGCTCGCGAGGCATAAGAAGTTCAAAGAAAGAATGTGTTGAAAATGAAGATCATTGTCGTCCCCGGACCAATATTATGGAGGAGAACATTCGCTCGATTCGTGCACTTGTTGAAGAGGATTGACGTCGGACATTGCAACAGAGGTTGGAATAAGTTATTGGAGCTGTCAAGCAATCATGACCAAACGCTCAGGATTCCGTAAAGAGTATGCCAGGTGTGTCCCTCGCCTCTTGACAGAAGGACAGAAGTTGAGACGTTTGCACGTCTCTCAGATTAGATGAAATGAGATGGACTCCACTTGAACATCCTTCCTATAGGTCGGACCTATCACTTGGTGATTTGTATCGCAGCCGCTTAAAAAAGCACTGGGAGGGCTACGAGTCCAAGACAATGTGGAGGCCTTCGTACAAAATGGCTCATGGTACAATCCTGTTCCTTTTACGATGCCGAGATTACAAATCTTTGAATCCGCTGGTCAAAATGCGTTTTAAAATCAGGGAATTTTGTGGAAAAATGATATGTACTTAGCTACTACATTACACCAAATATTTAAAAAATATATTTAGAAAAGATAGATATTTGATTCACCTACATATGAAAAACAAAAAGAAATAATTTATACAAGTAGAAAAATAATTTTTGAATAGTATCCTTGGATCCAAATTCAAATGCAAAAACATATTTTAGAAAAAAATACTGTATTATAACCCCAGAACAGGCCTCACTTGTCTTAAAAAAAGTAGCGTTCCAACGGGACAAGCAAATCAGGTTTAAATGGCCCTGGACGCATCGCTTCGGAGTAATGCGTGATTATAACGTATGCTGCAATAACCTGTTTTGTACGTCAGGAACATTCCTCTTAAACCAAGGAAACTTCTATTTTTCCTCTTAAATGTGTTGGATTAGACTACTGAACATCATCTCATACTGGATTACACTCTACTAGATCGCCCAGAGAAAGCACTTTCACACACAAAGGATCGAATACATATTCACATGTGCAGAAAGGGCGCAAATCAGTAAGATCCTTCCGCTCTCCTCTCGAGCCTTATTCGAATGACGAACTATATTGTTTTACACTTAATGTTTTCTATCCAAATGAAGTACTTCAGCTTCTGGGTCAATGATCCCCATCTCGATCAGGTTTTTGTCCAGTTTCCCTGATCCTCGAGTAAATGCTGAGATGGCCCTTTGTTTTGATTCTGAACATAAATTTAACTTCAAATTAACTTCTCGCCATAGCGTGTCATACACACTTTTAAACTGTTTTTGACGTAAATAAATGAATATTCTACACATCAGTTGTTACGTCCATCTCCACAACATAATCTCCTTGTAAATGTATGCAATTGTCCATCGGTGTGTCAGTCTCTGCAGACCTGCCTGAAAACATTTTTTCGGAGTGCTGCGTACCCATTTCTTGACAGATGGAAAATGAAAAATTGACAGCTCCAAAAAATTCTCGTGTCTGCATCCATTTCCGTAAATGTAATTCATTTATTTCTTCGGATGGTCTGTTCCAGTCGGGCAGTTTTGGCTGGTGTTGACACATTCCTTCCAGAACTAGTTCCCTTGTCCACCGATGTGCGCGCTATTTTCTACCTTTCAGCCAATTGTGAACTGTTTTATTTACTTTATTTATTTACGTCAAAAACAGTTAAAAGTGTATGACGTGCTATGGGGAGAAGTTAATTTGAAGTTTCATTTATGTCCAGAAGCAAAACAATGGGCCATCTCAACATTTGCTTGAAGATCAGGGAAACTGGGCGAAAACTTGATCGATACGGGGGTCATTGATCCAGAAGCTGAAGTACAATACTTGTTACAGGTTCTTTACAATTGTACAATCCAAATGGTATAAAATATATTAAATGTTATTGTTAAAATTAATACCGTTTTTCCGCGACAGCGCATGCTCCCCATAGACTGCCATCAAACGCGGATGAATTTCTGCAGTAGTTATTCCTCTTTTCCATAAAATCCACGTCGAATAGCGTTGTTACTGACGGTTGCTTTCCATATTGTCTGCTCCTCCAGCGTTGTTAGCGTGTTATGAAATGGCAATGACGAGTGCATTCGTTGTGCATTCGCTGTGCGCGTGCTGCGACCAAACGGTGGAACCCAAGATACTAGTTACACGTGGCCCCACCTTCTGGAAGTGAAATGTGAACCAAACCCGGGCCTACAAAAAATTAAAATGTAAAACAATATGCTGCGTCCCTCGTATTTCTTCCTCTTCGAGGAGTGTTAGCATCTCGTATTCGCTGACGTCAAACGACGCGCTGCCCCTACCCCCGACGCTTCCCCTCTTCTTGGCGGAACTGGGTCTGTTGCCACGCCTCACTGATGGTTTCCTCACACGTCGGGAGAGCGCCTGGTTCTTAGATATTGGCCAATCGGAGGAGATTACTGGCGTAAACCCTTAAATCTGGTGTGTAAGTCGGCGCCAGATATCACCGGGGAGGTATACAAGCAGCTTTCTGGATATAACACACAAAATTTAAGAGGCATAATGACGTTGTTAGTCAATGGGATCCGAAGCACGTAATTTACTTACTATATCCACAATTCCATTTTCATAATCCACGTTTTCCTTAAGAATCCACCTATCAGAATAACATTCAAAATAATTGTAAATGTAAAGCATTTATTTTGTTTTAAGATAAGACTTCAAGTTACAGTCATTGTAATACTGCATATGAAATATAATAACAATAGTTTAAATAAATAAGTTATTCAGTATTACATTGCACGAACTACCATATGATTTCTTTCCAGTTCTCTGTGACAATATTCAGGAATTGTTGTGAACGCAAATGAAACACTAACCCCGTCTTCTTTCTTACTCCGTTTTCTTCGTTTGCAAATGTTTCCTTTTTTAAATAGAGAAATTAAAAAAGTTGTAGAAAGAAACACACGCATCAAATCATGTTGGTCTCGAGGTAGTTTTCAAACACATCTCTTCTTTCCATCCTTATCTTGTTAGTGCAATCTGGAAAAATATAGAAAAATATGTATTTTTGACAGCATATTGAAGGCATGTTACAGGCAAAACGTAGTTTTTTTTACAGTTCTTAAAAATAAGTTAAAGGAATTTTATAGGAATATATATATATATACATATATATATATATATATATATATATATATATATATAAAGTAGAATATATTGAAAAATAAATATGCATTATATTATCAATCTAGTGATTCCTAAACAACACATACTTTTTCTTGCGTCAGTACGATTACATAAAATTATAATATTGCAATTTCTGTCCTTAACACGTTTTCGTCATCACTTGCAAACGCATTACAGATCGTTGCACATTATGCATTTAAAGTTAATACATCAAAACAAATACAATCCAGAACTCCGTTCCCTTTACCACGAGACGCCGCCCACCAATGAGAACCATTTCAGAGAATATCAAACTATCGGGACGCGGCGTTCCTATTGGATTCCAAACTGATAACACCTGAAATGTTATAGCAAAAGAAGTGCGGGAAATTTCAATTCGCTATTTCGAAAATTGCAAAAATTACGGAAAACTCATATTCGAAAAAATGTAAATTTCTAAATATAAAGATATAATTTTGAACGGCACATTGAAGTAAGTAAAATTCTCTATTTTCTACATTGAACTTTTGCAATATTACATTTTTGCAGCTTTAAAACTTAGTGTTTGCCGAAAATATAGCCATTACCATTTTCATAACGTTCTTTGATACATACGAGGAGAAAACTTAAAGAAAAAAATGGAGCAGTTAATGAAAAAAATAAAGACTGATTACCTAGGGGAAAAATAGGAACAGTGAAATGCAAAAAATTGGACAGCTATTTAGACACTGAAAATAATGTAAAATTTCCTCAAACTTTCTTATGCAGTACATGTTATACATAAGTATCGGACAGCATTATACATTGCTGCATTATACATATGCACGAAATATGATTTACTATACAATAAATTGCTGATGTATTAAAAAATTGAAAAATAAATTATCACTGAACCTTTGAGAATCTGATGGTGAAAACACTGAGACGGCACTAAGTGGAATAATAACACATTGTCATATATTGTAGCGAACATCATAAGAAGTAAACTCTATAAGAAATGAAATAGCAGATTGGTGTCTTTTGTCTTCCCATGTGTAGAAGAGTTAGTAGGTAAAAGTATATTCATCCATTCCTTATCAATAAAAGAAATATCAGAACAAACAGGCATAACAAATGTGTTATCTAGTTTCAAACTTTTCCTATAAAAGAGAGAATATGAGTTCTCTGTAGATTTTGCTTGTTAATCTGAAGTGCCAGCGTAGGTCGAACATACTATTTATCTACTTTTAACTTGAAGTAGTTGCCCCTGCCCAGTTTCAGAGGGAAGAACTTAATTAGAAGAAACTTGTGAGCTCAAACTTTCATTAAGAGGTACATCAGAAACAGATGATGGAACGAAATTCTTCCATTTGAAAACATGGTGGTCAGAGAGAAATATGCCTGTCTTTGCCAATCCTGAAATAATATTGACTACAGTCAATGCTCGAGTATATTCTGTTCGCAAACAATGTAACAGTTCCCTTCATTGAAGACAAAATCTTCGAAATTGTTTATCTGTTTTCTTTTTTCTCTGCGTTGTTTAAGTTAATCGTAAAAATAAAAGTTTAAAGGTTAGGTAATTCCACAACTGAGATAAAAAGGGGTGACTTCAAGGGACATTACACGTTACAAAAACACGTTTTATAATTTATTAATTTTAGGAACCTGGTTTAAAAAACCAATCACAAATAATCCGAATGAAAAATGTATTCATTGGGAACAGTGAAACACGTCTCAGTGTTCCTCCATTATTAATGTCACACAAATATTATTGTACATTATTAATGTACCAAAATACTGGTATAATTTCAAACTGACTTTCTACATTCATAATAATTGATATCTTCATAGTCATCAAATCCAAATCATAATTGATCATAATTGTCTTGCAAAGTTACTTTCTGAAAGAACAGCTGCAGAAACCCATAAAGCCCATATTTTCGGCAGTAAACTAAATGTCTCGGTGTTCTCACTGTCTCACTGTACCCATTTCCCCCAATATTTCACACAAAAGCATTTCACACACACCATATTTTCGAAAAATTGTAAGTAACCTTGTTTCAAAATCTGCCATTGAAGAAGACGTTTCATTACGGAAAATAATATCGACGAAGGGGAGCAACGGCCAAGTCGAAGGGAAGCAGGGAGCAAGTCGAGAAGAAGCGAGGGGCGTGTCGAGGGGAAGCAAGGGGCAAGTGTAGGTGAGGTGCGAGGCGAGTTTAGGTGAATCAAGGGGCGAGTCGAGGGCAAGAGAGGGACAAGTCGAGGGAAAGCGAGGGGCGACTCGAAGGGTACTGAGGGGCGAGACTAGGTGAAATGAAGGGAAGCAAGGTGGGAGTCAAGGTGAAGCGAGAGGCGAGTCGAGGGGAAGTGAAAGATAAGTCGAGTTCAAGCGAGGGGCGACTCGAAGCTAGCGGGGCGAGCGTGGGTGGGGCGAGACTAGGCCTCACTACCGTGGGGCGAGACTAGGTGAAGCGGGGTGGCGAGGGGAAGCGAGGGGGCGAGTCGAGGGGAAGCGAGGGGGCGAGTCGAGGGGAAGCGAGGGGGGGGAGGCGAGTCGAGGGGAAGCGAGGGGCGACGAGCGGAAGCGCCCTTACCAGGGGATCTTGAGCGACTCCGGGTCCACGTCGAGCCACGCGTCCTGCTGGCGCACGCGCGTGAAGATGCCGTTGAGGATGCTGGTGATGACTTCCGAGATGGCGGAGGCGAACGACGGCTGCAGCGAATCGAACACCTCCCTCCACTCGTCGTTTAGGAACTTGTTTGTGGTGTCCACTGCCAACACGAGAAAAACATGTTGGTCACCCAAATACTCGTGGGAACATGTACATAAATCAGTTCATTGTAGCCGGGTTTCTTTCAACTGCTTCGGTGTGCACCTGTTGTTTTACACAGGCCTCTCCATGAGACTTTTACCACAGGCGTAATAGCTAAATACTGTTTTAGAAGACGATTTGAATCTGTAATTGAATATGACGATTTGAATATATGTTCTCGGTAGAGGCAAAGGACAATGTTTCAGCAATCTCGGCTAAATCAACAGTAGCTTAACGAAATATATATTGATTATATACTTCGAATATGGCAAGTCTGTTCGAGTTATACAAGAAAGACATTTTTGCAGATGAAAGAAATTTAAGTTGGCTAGAAATGAAGTAAATTGCTTAATTGATATAAGGGTATCTGTAAATCAGTGTGAATAGTTAATCACTAGTACTTCCCTGACTCGTCTGTGAACCTAATTCTAAGACGTTACACGAGATTAATATATTTAGATTATCCATCAATTCTGATCTGTCCTGAGCAAAGCATCCATAAAGTTAGCTGAAACATTACACAATGGACGCGGAATATAATGAAAGATCGCTCAAAATAATAGGATAAATTGTAAGTAGTTGACTGTAGGATAAAATGTAATATCCCTAGATTTTAGGTTCTTTTAATTTCATCGAAAATCAAACGCAAAGTAAACTAGAATCTCTGTTTCCTATACAACACTGGATAGGATACAACACTTGATGTACGTTTAACTACGCCATTAAACTTGACGTTGAGTTTTTGTGCCAATATATCTAAGGTCACAACGCGCGAGTCTATAAACTATAGCCAACACTAGCAGAAGTTAAGCAAGAAAGTGTCAGACTTCCCATTGAACGACGATTATTGTATGTTTATGTTTTAAATATTTTATATTTATTTTAATTAAAAATTATTAACTGTTTTGAGCATACATTTGTATTTTGGAAATTGATTTTCGAATGTACGTTCTGTGAAAGGAAATCCAGCAAAATAACTTGCGCACTACAGTTGTGAATTTTTTAAACAGTAATTTCATAAATTATGTTGCTTTGTAAAACAAGTACTGTTGGTTTGAAATACTAACAAATTATTATTTATTATAATTTCTAGACAAAAGAATGTTTTAAGACAAGGGAAAGAAAACATGCTACTTGTAAACCTTAATGTTAACAAATATTTACTTATACATACTGAAAAAGTTGTTTAAAACAAAATAAAAAGTACTAAATTTTTATTCCAAGCAGTGTGTCAACAATTTTTGGAGATCGTAAAAACTCACTTTGCGAAGAATAAAAGCGTAAGTGGCATGCTAGTTTGCAGGTTTCTATGTGAATTCCCGGTCAGATTTACTCATTAACAATTAGTAAATTAGAGCATTTTATTATTTAACAGGTTACTGATTTCAAACATGGTTAAGTTATTATTTGTAATTAAGGCATTTGGTGAGAAAGGAAACTTATGGTTAATTTCAAAAAAATCTTATTAATACATTTAATATGAGAATGTGTTCATCAATTGATGAGTTACAATATTGTGAATCATCTGTTTCACACACAAAACACACCTTCACTTTTGTGCACTACACTTATCACACATGTCGAGAGCTTAATAGTTGGTTCGGACTAGAGCGGTGTCCTAGTAGATACGATACCAGGAGGAGGAAATCCTCACAAGCCGCCATGCATTATCTTACCGTCCAGCGGTGGAGGATCACTGCCACCTCACGGGGGAAAACATGCATAGCACATACGTAACTGATGACTACAGCAGTAGCCGCGCCCAGAAACATCAATCAATCAATCAATCAATCAATCAATCAAAGAGTTGACTCACGGAGCGCTTTGTCGCCGTTGAAGAGGTTGTCCAGTAGAATGGTCATCCCTTGGGCGTCCATGTCGAGACGCGCTCCGGGTTCCGGGACGTAGTACACCTCCCCGTCCTCCAAGCGCTTCAGGTTCCACTTGTACTGATAAACTATTTCCACGTTCGCTGCAACACGACCAAACAATAGCGTGTTTCAATAGCAATTAATTAATTTTGTCGCAATAGATAGTTTGCAATTTTTGCAAAATATTCTCTATATTTTTAGATAACGACATATAGTCTGAGAAGTACCACAAAAGTGACACTCCTCATAAATCGTCCCTTTGATATTTTTTGTAAGACTTTAAATGTCTGTAGGGGATGTGCCTTATTTTACATCTAGGGTGCCGCTGAAACTTTTGATGTATTCAAAGGAGGTGTAAGCAAAAAGGTTTCAGAAAGTTTCTGCTTATGTATATCAACGATAGTCAAAAGGGAGTTGCAAAAAAGAAAGAGTAAATTTAGAAAGTGGGGAAGTCTTTAAACTTTTATGGAGTCTCACAGCTATTTTCACAACGTAAATCTCATTCTAACGCAAAGTTGTATTTTAAATTTTAATCAATCGATTTTTTAAAATTTAAAAGCAATTCACTCTCTTTGTAGAATTCCACCCTGAACGTATAGTAAAACATAGTGAAAAATACTTTCTCGAAGGTACTTTTTCGTTTCCTAATCTCTTTTGTTTGTGCTAGTTTTTCGGTTTTGCCCCAGATACTACCTATCGCTGCCTAAAATATATTTTTCATATTTCCCAACCTGGTCCTTTTTTATAATTTTTCTTGAAAACTTTGGAGCAGATTTTGAGAAAAATGGCATTGAACCGTGTCTGCAAACGCGCAATTTTGAGCTGATATTTACAGAAATCTTTAGAGCTTTTGACGAAGGTCTTCAGAAATAATCTGAAGCATTTGCACTTACAAACGCAATAATGTACAAATAGTTTCCCGAATTTATGTAACGACGTGAGAGATAATTCAAACAAATTATATTTGTGTAATTTTTGAAAAATCAGAAGTATACATCAAATGGGGTTTATGTCATATAATTGAATGCATTTAGTACTTTATTGACAAAGATTGTACCGAAATAATTCTTTGTCGATTTGGAGAAGTCATGTTTTGAATATTTTTTAATGTTGTCTATATTTCACTCAAAAGTGATGCAAAACTAAGAATATTTTGAAAAATGCATAACATTAATTCAATACACAATTATGAAGAACAAATTTCATTTGAAGAAAAAACGTGAAGGTGTTGCGAGGGGGTTCGAAACTTGTCAAACTTGCATTTATCAATTATTAAAGAGTAACAGTGGAAATTAGACCTGTGCCTCCTTCATAAGTATATTTCACTGAAATGAACATGAAATTTACAGAAATTTACATGAAATTTGAAGAAATAATATGGACACATTTTTGAGAAAATTTTGAAAATGTCCCCCAAAGTATTCATTTGAAGTACACCCACATTTAAAGAGTTCTTTTCAACTCGGCAGTGTATTAAGTGGAGCCAGATCAATCAGGTAATATTTATTTTGGCAAAAATCCTACTAATAGTTTAAGTACTGTACTCCGATTTAAACAATGACGAACAATAAGGTCACGAGCTGGATCGAGAGACAGACACTGTCATGCAATCTGAAGCTTCATTGCGACTTACATTTTTGGTAAATGAGCTCGTGGTTGATGGTAATGTCCCCCTCTCCTTCCAGCTCGACATCTTCAAGTGCCTTTCTCTTTAAATCTGAGTATAGTGGATTTCATGGATGGACGTTTTGAGAAAAAAACGCTTTTTTCTATTTAAGAAACATCAAAGTGTGGGTTCTGACTGCTCTACGAACTAGATAAATTAATTTACTACATTTAGAAGCAAAACAAATTATCACCTATGTTATCAGGGAGCCACAAATGAATTTCTCCGTGGAAAAACGTTTGCGCCACAGCATTACATTTCTTTTGTTATTCTACGTATATTACTCTCTCTCTCTCTCTCTCTCTCTCTCTCTCTCTCTCTCTCTCTATATATATATTATTATATTATTCGGAGAGAGTTCCACACTCTATGGGAGGAAAGTCTCTGGACATAACAAAAAAATAAAGGAAAAAACTTCAACAACAGAAATGATGTTCAGTCGAAGATGTTGTTAAACTTTCTCTGTTAGACAAAATATAAGAAATGAATGAAATAAGAAATAAAATGAAAGTGCAAACCACCTGAACGAGACTATCGAAATGAAACAACAAAATGGTATGACATATGAGAAGGGTTGGAAATCGGAATGACTTCCACAAACAGTTTGAGACGTGGATACCCAAATCGAAACAAGATTACAGGGATGACCGAGAACATGGCAACATGGAACATGCAATAAACTGAAGCCGAGGAAAAAAAGAGAAATGCGAGGAAAACGATCTATGGATAAAGAGGCATGGAAATTGGGATGCGGGAAAACGGCCAAGGCTGTAAAAAAATCGCTTAAATAGATAGAAGATGTTCACTTTCCATTTAGAACGAGGCAAATAAGACAACAGGAAGGAAAGTATTCAGAGCAAAACTCGGATGCTGTATTATCTCTCTCTG